ACATATATATATATTTTACTTATATACCCAAATAATTTCTAATCATAAATCACTTACCATTGTGCAATTCCAATCAATCGAACCGTGTCGATAATCAAAATTGTGATCAAAAATTTCGAGCTGTATCTGTATCTATTGTTAAAACCAAAACTATTCCTAATAATAATAATAGTTGATTATAGCTGTTATTCATTATTATTGCAATATTACTGTTACATGGTTGTTATGATTATTGTTGTTGTCGCTGTTGTTGTCGTCAACGTCGTTACAGAGCCAAAACAGTGACCTCTCACTGGTGAATCAGCAAGTGCAATCTCTTATACGCCAAGCGGACGCCCGCAATCGCCAGCTGATTGAGCAGGCGAACTCAGCGCTAAATCGTGACTGGCAGGACCTGGTGCATAGCCTGGAGCAGAGAAGGGATAAGCTGCAACAGTTGGCCGAGCACTGGGATAGCTTCGAGAACGGTCTGCACGGCTGGGAGAAGGCATTAGGTCGCTTGGAGGATAAGTTCCGCAATGTCGACCCAACTGTAAGGTCGCGACGTCATTTGGAAGATACAAAGAATGCCATTCAGGTGAGATTAACATTTACCTTTACAGAAGTCACTCTCAAGTTCACCCACACACATACATACGGTTAATGTATGAGCTCACAAGCTTAATTGATTTATTATAGCTACTACGTGCGCATCCATACATGCACATATATACATCTGTGTGCTTGCGTGTGTGTGTTTGTGTATATTCATTCATTCATTTAGTTGGGCCCCTCCTCTAACGGCTTTGGGCATGCCGCAAATGTTTTGCTAATGTCAGACATTATATATATACACACACACACACACACACACACATACACACTATTTTCCCTGTATATACACGTTTACATACACACACATACATATATTGCTGCCCAAGTTCATGGTCACATGCAACCTATCTACACAGAGAGCTTGCGCTCTCTTACTAAAAGCACGGCTTTGCCTCTCTCTCGCCCTACTCGCTTCTCTTCGATACCAGTCCGAACTGTAAATGATTGACTATATAAAAAGCTAAAAACAAAAGTCTAATTTGTAACTTTCAGTTTCTTTTGACGTGTTTTTGTCTGTTTTTTTCTAATCACAGCTTCTAGCTAAACATTTATTCTATTGGCCCATTATACAACTGAGACAATAGCAGAATTTTTTTGATTTAGATTTTGTTTTTTACTATCAACAAACCGAGTTATTTTTTTGCTTTTCATTGCATGACTTCATGGCTACAGATTATTATTTTTGCTTTTAAACATTGTGTTGTTTGTGATTAGAGTGCAACAAAAATCAGTAGAGACTTATACCTTATCATTTTTTAAAGGCTAAAAATAGCTGAAGTTTATTTAAAGCAAAATATTTGCGAAAAAAGTTTAAATTTGCCATTTATATAATTTAGATAAGAGAACCAAAAGTGTTAGTTCAATTAAATTTAAAAAATTTAATATTAAAATTCTCTGAGAAAACAAATCAATTAGCAACTTTTCAGCTTTAAATAAAAATATGTAAAAAGTTATAGCACTGCCAAGTCATGAAACTCTCAAGCTGCCATTCAATACACTTCATTAGCAAACTTGTTATATATAGATCTTGTTATATACTATAAATAGTAACTAAAAAAAAAAAAAAAAAAACTAAAAAAAGTTGTGTTACTCAGTTAAACAATTCCAAGAAACCTTTTTGTTTTTATTTTTATGGACTTTTATTTTTTGTTTAATTTTAATTTTGTTTTCTTTCGAGCTTACCTCAAATATTTTCTTTTTTTATTTTTTTTCTTTTATACATACGAAATGTTTGCTTTAAAGTCAAGACAACGTTTCTTTTATTTTGTTTATGGTATTAACCTTCGCTTTTTGGCTTTTTTGTTTTTTCGAGTTTATAAACTGGAATTGAATTAAAAACCTAGCGTAAGTTTTATTGGTTTTGTTTGCGTTTGATCGAACGAATCGTTAAAGAAAACAGAAAAAAAAAACAAAAAAAAAAAAAAACAAAAATTTTTTTTAGTTTTCTGCTGTTTGTTCTACTAATTGAAATTTATAATATTTTTGTTTGTCTGTTTAGGAACTGCGTGAAGAATCAAATGAACTTAAATCATCACATAAAGAAATCGAAACGCTCTCAAAATCCATCCTCACATTCCTTGGGGAAGTACACAAACCCTCGGCGGAGGCCATACAGGCCAAAGTGGATAAGTTAGTTGAACAGCAAGCAAAGTGAGTACCCGAAATTCCTTATCTATGTATATTTATATGAGAGTAAAATTATTAATAGACGAATATGATTACGAACAGTTGCAAGGGTTTAGGAGTATGTTATGATTTAGTTTAAGTTCGACTTTAGAAGATCTCGTGAATGATCTGTAAATGTGTGTCTAATTTAATCTAAGATTTCGAATTGAACTAATGCTGTACATATAAATAGTATTTGATATACATTAAGTAATTTATAGGTATACTATTTTATTATTTAAAACAAGTGCCACACTTTTATTTATTACCGTGACGTTTGTACAATTTCGGATTTTAAACGGCGGAAATCGAACGGAAATCGAAATCGAATTCGATGCATAAAAACATTCCGTTCTATAATTGATTTGTATTTAATGTTACCAAATTAACTAGTTATTTTTATATTATATCACATCATTTAAACGGGTTCCAAGACCCAGACAAGTATGTTTAGAGAGAGGTAGATTTACATAGGTGTATGTATTTAAGAAGAGTAATATGAACAACTTTTGGCTTATGGCAGTCTGTGACATCAGTTTTCAGTTGTTTTTAGTTTTTGTTTTCGGCTCGCTGAGCCGCAAAGCCCTCGAAATTTCATGCCAAACAATCGCTGGCTCGCTCTTCCTCTCTCTATCTCTCTCTAAATACCTCTAGCTCTCTCCCTGACGTCATGGCATTGGTTACGCTCGGTGTGTAGCTCGAGACGAGGTACTTACATAAGACAAGTTTTCTATGGCAGCATTAAAGTCAAGTTCTTGAGAATTCTAGATCATTAAATTTTCAAAAAAGAAAAGAAAATACATTCGCCTTGCACATTACACAGTGCCTGGTCAAAAGTCTGTTTACCCATCCATTAATGGGCCATATCAACTGACGGGGCATGCCCGCTGATGCCTGATAACGGTTAACTGTGCCAATGTTTTAACGTCTTATCTAAGACAGTTACGATAATAGACAAAGCGTTGACGCTATAAATTTTATAATCATAATTATAAAAGATTCGTTCAAGTAGTTCACAATATACGCTATATGATTCAGAGATTTTAACGTCCACTTAGAAGGGAGCTTGTTAGCACTGTTAACTGAACCATAGCAAATATACTATATTCCATATAGTATACGCCTTCTGTTGATAAGATTCTGAACAATAACAAAAAACTTGTTCGTTTTTTTTTTTTTTTTTTTTTTTTGGCGGAAATTCTTTTTAATGGCGCTTGACGCAAAGCGAAATAAAAAAAAATAAATAAAAAAAACTTTGCCAATTTGTCAATTACTTTTGCCACACTCACACATTCAAACATATGCATATTGGCAACATGCTGCTGACAGCAACATTTGGCGCTTTAACAGCTTATTAACAGCAGTGAAATTCACCACGATTCGACGTTAACAGCGCTGGTCGTTGATCACGTAAACATTTTGCTTGTCAAGAAAAACAAAAAATAAAACGGAAAAAATGTATTCAAAGAAAATAGTGATAAAAATAAGAAAATCGGAGAAAAAAAAAATCAGAAAACATGCCGCGGCCTTTCTTAATGCAGCACTGACACAAATTTTCACCCAAGACATGTGTATGTTTATCTACAAGAAGTATATATTTTCAGCGTATTTTTGTTCCGAATTTTTTGTTATTTTATTTTTATACACATTTTTCTTTCATCCGGCTGCCGTTGGCTTTCATGAAAAACGAGAGCAGCAGCTGCTAATTTCCTTTCTTAATTTCCCCATGCGCTTAACCAAATGTCTTACCGAATAACAATAATAGGTTTTTGTGACGTATGCCATATGGAAGTAGATGGCAGATAATATTTACTGTGTGTGGCCTGCTAATTGCGAGCTAGCGAGCTGTTAAATGTTTTCGATAAAACATTTTCTTGATTGTGATAGGCTTTTAGATGACTCCAATAATCGGGAAAACACTTGAAGGCCTCCTGTCGACACTTGTCCATTAATTTAGATTTGCTTGACAGCTGTAAGGCGCTCCAATTAACATGCGCATTAACAGTTAAGTTAAACGTGTCTGTTAGTCAACAGCTGTAACTCATTGATTTTTCCAGCTGTAATATCAGCATTCAATTTAATAGATGTTAGTAAACAGCTGCTAATCATTTGTACAATGTAATTATTTCAATACTCTAATTTACTTTCTCACTTTACTCTTTCATGGGATTCAATCTCTAAGAAATACATAAAAATAATTAATAAAATAAATTTATACGTAAATGTATACGTAAAGCGAGTTATTTTGTAGTTGATTTATTATAGAAATCCCCATGCTTACATTTTTAAACGACTTTAGTCGTTTTGATGTGATCTTTTATAGTCATTTGTTTGAATTATGTACTCAGCTCTACACATTTAAATAATTACATCTAAAATTAGCTATAAATTAAACAATTAAACAGGTCTGGCATATCATATTTTGAGCGAAACTTCATTATTTATGACGAGGCAAATACTGACGTTCGTTGTAAACGTTTAACGTTTTCTCACATTTTGGCATATTCCATATACAATCTCTAGCTCTCTTTTTGGATATCTCTATGAGAAATTCTTCTGTAGCTCAGATTAAAATTAAAATAATTTCTGACTTCGTCATGTATATTTTGTGCCTTAAATAAATTGACAATGCCATCATCATTATCGATGCTCAACAAAAAATGATCTAATACCCGAAAGTTTGCTCATCGACAATTATACCCAACTATATATATATATATAATGTATATTATATCTATATTCCTTAACTGCGACGCAAATTCCGTTGCATTTGTACTTGAGATTTACTTTTCGACTGGCGAACATGCAAAAGTCTAATCAACTTGCAAAAAAAAAAAAAAAAAAAAACGCATTTTTAATTCTCAAAAGTTGCGTAATCCTTGAGCACTTAAAAAGTATTTTTGTGTATTTCCAGGCAAGCTTATTAAGTATTTGTTTATAATTATTTCTGGATTTTTAAATCAATTTTGAGCTGTTTATCTTTTGGACATCCAAAAATGTATATATAAAATATGATATAATATGATTTTTTTTAAGAGAATGCGCCATGATTTTTGTTGTAGTTATCAAATATCTTAACTCTTCAGAAATATCTTATCTTTTTTCAATTCTTCTGAAAACGATCTGTTTAGTTGTCACCTGAAAATATGAAAAAAAAAAAAAATCACTAGTATATCTTTGCAAAGTTCTAAAAATCTGAATTTGCATGTTTCGACCAAATATCAAAGAAGCATTCTTTCAATATATAAAAACATATATTTATGATGACTCGAAATAAAATTTTCTTATACGTAAGATTTACTATGACACTCACTGTATAATGATTCACTTCAAATAAATGCATTGTTTCTTAATTAATGTTATTGACGACCTAGTATTTTTTTTATAAAATACTTTGCTCTAGAGCATAAAAAATAAAAAATCAGCTGCCAAAATTATAAAAAAAAAATAAAGAGACAAAAAATATATAAAAAATTAAATGTAAACAAAGCGGAAATCGCATGGCTGACTTCATCGTTGCTAAAGAATAATAAACAACAGAAACGTATACATAAAAAAAAAAAAATTTTAATAAAATATACGAAAATAAATTATTTTACGTTGCATTAAAATATAATAAATAAAATCTAAATCCAATAACAAAATGCGATAGGCATTTGCATTGCCAATTTGTCACTTCGCACAAAACAATGTGTCAGAGAGAGAAAGAGAGAGGAGGGAGAGCAAGAGAGAATACAATAAAGCGAAAACGTTGCCCAAATGAGGTAATCGCGTAATTATAAATTTAGTTTTGTTTTTGTTGTCGACTTTTTAATTTTTAACATTGCGCTGTTAACTCACGCGCTGCTGCTAGCTGTGTGCCGTTCCAATTCCATTTCGTTTCACAGCCGTTTGTTGTCTCTCGGTTCTTTGAGAAGCCGGCATTTTTTTGCTGCTTATCGAAACCGGCAAAAATGATTTGTTATTGCCTTATCATTTCGAGCGCTAAGCATGCAATATATATTATATGCATACATACATATGTATATTTAAGCAAATACGTATAGAACATCAATTGCATTTGTTTTGTTTTTTTTTTTTGGGGATTTTTGCATTAAGGCTACGTGCGGCATATTTGGCAACTGAAATCAGCGGCGAATTTTTGGTTTGCTAATGAGTGAGGTAAACTTTTGCCGTACGCCGCAGTTTCAATGCCAAGCGCATATTTAATATACAAATTGTTATGTGTTGTTGCTGCCGCTGTCGCTGTTGCTGCTGCTCTCTTTCCCCTTCACTCTCTTACTCAATGCGTGCGCCTGTTTGCCTATGTGTGTGTGTGTGTCTGTGAGTGCGAGTGTGAGACTGTGGTGAGTTAGTTTTTGTTCTTTTATTTCCGTCTCGCATTGCCGCTGTTAACGCTGATCGCTCGCACGAGCGCCGACTGAGACGTCGACGTCGCTGAAACTTTTTGGCAATTTTTGTGCGCTGAGAATTATTTTAGTTTTTATTTAGAGTTAGTTGCAAGCGGATGTGTTTTCGCTATAGCTGGATGGCTGGAAATTAAATACGAAGCGACCGCACGAGCATAATAAAGAAATATATATATGTATATCAGAGAGATATATATATATATATAGACGCATATTTTTAAATCAAATAAAATACAATTTAATTAGGAAGCAGTAGAAATAGAAGCAGCAAACACACAAACAGACGAAGAAGCGACAGCCCAAAGAGAAACCAGTAAAGTATTTAATTCGCATAACTGTGCAGCGGTCTCGAAAGCACCGTTAAGGCGCACAGTTCAACAATTTGAAATACTATACGTAATAATTTTTTCGTTTCATGCACTGGCACTTGCTAAAACGCCGCTTTGTGGATTACCAGGCGTATACGCAATTTGAAGAGAGTCGAGTTTTATAGCTGCTGAATTTCGCAAGAAATTCAAGTTTCAAGCAAAAGAAACAAACGAATTAAAAATAACAAAAAAGTTGAGGAATAAGAAGCAGTTAACAATTGTTTTAAGCACACGTCTGCCTCCCCAGTCAGGAGGTGCGATTGTTGTCGCTAAACAACTGGCGAAAAAAAGAAGAAAAATAGTAAAGTCAAATAAAAGACAGCAGCAAGGGAAAGAGCAAGGGACAAGAGAAAGAGAAAGAGCCGAATGCTAATTGCTAACACGCACTCTCCAAAACGACGTCGTCAAAAGCAAAAGGTGAATGTTTATTAAACACAAGTTAACTTAACTTAGCTTCACACTGCCTGCCGCGCCGTGTGGCATGATTAAGTCATCGAGGCCGGTTAAAAAGTCGGAGTCGCTCGGTTCGGTTTATGCAAAAAGCAGCCTCAATTTTCTAGCCGGCTGTTTGCCTTTTTGCTGCTTACTGTTGGGTTCGGCGCACGGACGGGTCCGGTCTTTCAGCGAGGTCGTCAGGTGTTGTTGTTGTTGTTCTTATTGTTGTTTGAATTGAGAGACGTGCTTTGCTTAGCGACGCGTGTCTCTGATTTAAATCGATGACGTCGTCGTCGTCGTTGTCGTCGCCGCATCTAAAATAGCTAACGCTCACTCACAGTGCTTATCGACAGACATTTAATTACAATAATTGATCAAACTGAGCGCCGTGATTTCAATGTTTTATTTTCGTCTCTTGAAAAACATATATTTTTCTATACACACGCCTCTCTGGCTTTCGCTTTTCACTTAGTTTCGCTCGCATTGCGAACATTCTTCGCCATTTCAATTCAAAATATCCACTAAATTTAATACATTAATTTGTAGAGTAGGCAAATGGCAAATCGCTGCTCAAAATAGCTGCAAAAATAAGCAACAAAAAACTAAAAGCAAAAAGAAAACTAAAACAAAAATTAATCTGCAAGAATTTTTATTGTGTTATTTAAGGCTCAATTTATTCACATGTTTGATACCCTGTTAGCAAAAAAAAAAAAATGCTAAAATCTGAGTAAAAAAACATTGATTTTGCTTATGGCAGAAACATTTTTCAACTTTTATTGAGGTTTCTGGACTAATAGAACATTTGTTAGGCAATTAGTAACTTAAATAAGTTAAGTAAGAAATTATTATTTCTCGATCTGTATTAGCAGCTGTTGTTGTTTACTGTTTCTAATTCTAAATGAGAATTTGAATTTGACTATAAATTTATGAGTGGATAGAAATCAAATTGTTAAAAAATTGGCGCTCTAAATATGTTTAAAAAATCATTAAAATATATTTTAGGCATATCCAACTGTGATTTTTGTTTGAATGATTATAGCTTTTCCAAACATCGGATATTAGAAACTTGGGCGATTATGACTTAATTTTCATAATTTATATTTCTAAAATAATTTCCTTTTATTTATGAGACTTTTGTATATATTTTGTTTGAATGATTATAGCTTTTCCAAACATCGGATGTTAGAAACTTGGGCGATTAGTTCATGACTAAAACTTTGATTGCTGAAGTTGACTTATTTTTCATAATTTATATTTCTCAAATGATTTCCTTTTATCTACGAGACTTTTGTATATATATTGCGAAAGTTTTTTAGCTATACATATTACTGTTTGTCCACGTTTTGTTTAGGGTTCAGCTATGCTGGTCGCACACATTCGTATGCTTCATGATATGACTAATTAGCTTCCTTGTTTTATTTCGAACCAAATTTGCTCGTGTTTTAGTCACACTTGCTTTCACTGGGTATCTACTAGTTGGGCTCATCAAAATACTCACTTTTTTTTGTTATTCTTTTACAATTAATGCGCTAAAAACTGTTTTCGAAAATGAATGTGTTCTTTCAGCCTCAATTGGCTGCTAGCCAACATGTATTGACTTGGCCTCCTCAAGGCGCATTGCTCTTCCGTTTCAATTGTTGCTGTTGTTGCTGTAAAGGGCAGCAGGCGACACAGCGTCCTTCAATGTTTGGCCATAAATATTTTCGTGCACTCACGACTTTACTACAATTTGGTATTTTAATTGCTGCCTTCAAGTGCTGCTACACTTGTCTGAGGCAGCGGCACAAAACACTTGTTGGCTTCATTTAGCGCCCACATGGCGTATGAGTAACATGAACATTAAGTTTCTGGAATAAGAGCAAATAAAACAACCACAAAATATATTGTAAAGAAAAAGGCAAATAGAGAGATTTGCTCTCGAGCATCTCTCTCTCTGAGTCATTTCGCGTGCAGCATTGCCCGATGACGTCAGATGCATTCTGATTAGCTTTGACCAAGTTTCGCTTGGACTGCGAATGAATAGATATAACATAAATACGTGTTTAAAAATATAAATGTCTGCATAAAAATAAACGCAGCCGTTAAGCAGGCCGCGCCGCGCCGCGTACAACATAAATAATAATAATAATAACAAATTTAAAAGACACACACATGAAATGTTTAAACAAAATAAAATATTTTCGAAAATCTTGAGAGGCAGCGCGTAGACTCGTTCTCGCTCTCGCTTAAAGGAAAAGCAGTTCAAGGCATTTGCCGAATATACAAAAAATAAAATTCGAATTTCGGATTTCGAATTCGAATTCAATTGTTGAATTCGTAATACTCTCATGCCGTGTCTAGTCAAAATTTTCGACATCGCGATTCATTTAGGAAACTCTCTTGTAGTCAAACGGCAGCATTAATTTCCACGGAAATCTTCGCAATCGCCTCGAGGCCAACAGCTCCCAGACCCCATAGTGGATACACATAAAGCGAACAACTTCAGCCATCAACAAAAAAAAAAGAACTTTTCTATAATATATATCAAATATATATAGAGAGATATATTCAATTATATATTCGTATATATATCTATTGTGTGTACAGCACGCGTAGTTCTATTGAGGTTCTATTCTAGAGGAAAAGACGAACCGCGTGGTTTTTCACACGCACACAAACACACTTGCAATCTGTTTACATATTATATTCTATATTATAGGCAGCTATATTTCAGATACGTCATTGACTAATACGCCCCGGGCAAACGTTTTCTGCTCTGCTCTCTCTCTCTCTGAATTCATTACAGATTGAACGACACGCTACGCGAGAAGGACCAACAGGTTAGCAGGGATCTCGAGGAGATCGAGCAAGTGTTCCGCCGCATCTCACAGCTGCAGGACAAATTGAACGCACTACACGAACAGCTTCACGCCGTACACGTCTACGACGAGCACATTGCCCAAACGGAACAGGCCCTCATCAAACTCAATAGCCAGGTGCAGCAGGCCGGCGAGGAGAGTCGCGCGCTTGTCGCGCAAACCCAAGCGCTCTATCAGACCAAACAGAATCAATTGCCCAGTGATATTGCCCAGGAGTTTACCGCACTTGAGCTGCTAGCAGAACGCGTGCAGGTAACAATGGAGACCAAAGAGAAGGATTTCAAGCGTGCCAAGACCGTGCGCACGGACTATTTGGCCGGTGTCGATGAGATTCAGCGCTGGCTGCTGCAGGCCGAGGTGCAGGTGCAGGAGCGCACACTGGAGCCGACACAAATGAAGGAGCTGCTGCAGCGCATCAATCACGAAATCGGTGCCATCTACGAACGCTTCACGCTGGTCAAGACCAACGGCCAGCTGATCATTGAGAATTGTCGCAACAGCGAGGAGAAGACGCTGGTGCAGTCGACCATTGATCAGTTGGCCGCCCAGCTAGCCCAAGTGCGTGGCTGGCTGGACGAGAAGAAGCAGGCTGTGGGCGATAGTTTGGATGCTTGGACGCGTTTCATGAATCTGTACCAGATTGTCATGTCGTGGGTAGCGGACAAGCGTACGTTCATCGATCAAACCATTGAGCTGCGCACGCTGCCCGAGGCGCGATCCAAGCTGAATGACTATGTGACGGCTGTGAAGAGTATTAAACCGATTGTAAAGCATTTGAGCGAAATGGATAAGGAACTGGAGCACATTGGTCAAGTGACGACCGTGGGCGATCTCAAGGACAAACTGCAGCAGGCCGAGGATGCGAAGATAGCCGTGGAAGCAGTGCTGCTGGAGAGGGTAAAGCGGGCGAAAGTGAATCTTTAGCTTGAACATATTTGATTTCTCGTTTGTCTTTTCTCTTGTCAATCCAAACAGAACTCGCTGCTGCAGGAGGCCTGTGAAGAGTGGGATCAATGTGAGCGCAAGATCAAGGATATCCGTGCCTGGCACGAGAAGACCAAACAGACCTTAGACTCCTCGCCACAGCAAAAGAAGCCGCTGCGCGATCAGCTGGGCTACTGTGAAAAGACTCTGGCCGACATAAATGTGCAAAAAACCAAACTGAGATTGTCTATTGAAAAACTGGAGGTAAGTGACAGAAGCTGGCATAGCTAATCCGGAATGCGTTTCCATGCGCCACACCCCCTTCTTTTTGGCTTTCAGGTGCACTTCCGCAACGGCATGGGCGGTGATCCGCGCCTGAGCGAAAATGTTGACGATTTGGTGCGCGTGCTCGATGGCCTCGGTGAACTGGTGAAGACCAAGTCACAGAGTCTCGAGCAGACGCTGGCCCAAATCGATGTCTATCAACAGCAAATGCAAACGCTCCGCCAGCGTATTATACAGGAAGAGCAGCAGCTGCGTCAGGTTATGGCGCCCACGTACTTGCCGCACGATCGTGAGCGCGCATTAGCCGAGCAACAGGTACGTACTCCCTGAAAGCATCTGAAACTCTTTTCTTATGTGTAGAGCCCAATCAGTTATTGTTTAGACCAGTTAGCATATATAAAAAAAAAGCTAGCCAAAGCCAGGAAATTATCTCTCAGTCTAGGAACAACTCCCCCTTATCTATCTATATACATCATACATATAGTCTCCCTATGGTAGCTCTCGTAAATAACAGCAACTGTTAAGCTAAGCTGAATACGAATATGTCCCGAAGTTTTTCGATTTAGTAATACCCCTTCTTCATCATAAAAATCATGCTAATTATTTATATATATATATTGAACGATTCTAAATTTTGAGTTTTGTGCTATGCAACAGTTGACAGAACAACCAGTTTGTTAGCCCAAACGTTATTAACCCTCAAGTAACCACAAATAGATCAAGTTCAATTTTCAATCAATTTTTAATAATCCAAAAAAAAAAAGATGAAATATTGTGCGGGTAGGTCCGGAAAAAGAAAACCAAAGTTGCACGGTGGCTGCGTATTTAGTTCTGCGTTAAATTATCCAATTTATTTATTTATTTTTTATTTTCAATTTTGCCTCTTTTCATTTTCATTTTCTTTTATTTTTTTGTATTAATATTCAAGTGCGCATTTCGCATATTCAATTTTCTGTTTTTATGCGGCATATAATTTATATATTCTCTTTCCATTTCGCTTAGAGAACAGAAATTTTCTTAAGTTTTTATTATTTTCGAATTCGATTTATGCCATTCATTTCTCATACACACGCACACACACACCCACACATACATACACTTACATACATTATTCATTTTTGTGCTCTCTTATGTTCTTTTGATTTGCGAAAATCATGTCATACCAACCGTGCAGCTCATCCAACATCGAAAAACTCATGCGCCTCGTACATGTAGTACATATAATACATCTCGTATCCATATAGTATATGCCATGCTCTTATACCATATCATATACATATATATACTCTTGATGCCCATCATTGTTATGTCTGCCTTGTCAAAAACAAAAACAAAAAATACCCGAAACATTTGTTGTGTCTGTAAAACAAATTCGATTCCGTTTTCGACTCATTGTCACGTGCCGGAAAGAAATATTTAAATAAGTTCTTGTTAGCCGGGGGTAGCCCAAAAAAAGCTATAATATAGAAATATATTTTCGAAATTCTAAAAATTCCTTCTCCAGCCCATTATTCAGTCAGCTATTTTAAGCAATGTCGGATTAACGTCTACGAATTTATTTCACACTTGAAAAAAATGTTTGTATATATATATTTATAGATATAGATATATATAAAGAGCAGGCTTTTTTTTTTGCCTATTTTATATTAGTTTTAAATAAATTTTGTTTTAAGTTTACATTGCGAATTGCAGTGTTGGCGGTAAGTGGCAAATTTTAAAGTCAATTGAAAAATCAATTTTGAAAACAATTCTTGAAAAACTTTGAAAAATTTGAAAACATTTTTTTTTTAACTAAAAAACTTTTACAGTAGCTTCATATTTTTGGGGCAACTTTTGCTACGAGAACTTATTTACGATTCACCTATCACCAAGTACAGTTGAAACTCAATATGACGGCACATACGAAAGTACATCAATTACATTTGAAATCGTATCAAACCACATCACATTAAATCACTTCACTTCACATCACATCACATTTTGTCTCACAGTTAAGGAAACACATTATGCTTAAAGCTTAGATAATTTTAATTTTGTTAAATCATTTTCATTATTATTATTTTGATTGAATTAGTTAGCTTTATGGCCGGGCAGACATTTTCACATTAAGCCGCTCGAAGTCACAGCTATTTCTATCTCTCTCTCTCTTTTATCGTAATAGCGCTCTCAGTTTTAGTTAAAAAGTATGGTTACGGTTTTAATTTAAATTATATTTATTTTTTTTTTTTGACAATTTGTATTTCTTTTTATCTTTTCTCTTGGTACATTCTTATTGAATAAAAAAATCTGGTGTCGTTGCGCTGAAAAAAATCAATTAAAATTTCAAAACACTACATTAATTAAACATTAATTGAATTGTTCTTACTAATATCTGAAACATGCTTTAACCTATAACCAAACGGGTTTTTGGGCTTTGCTCGCTTGCCTCTTGTGCTATTTGCTAAAACTAAACATAATTTGTGACTAACTCAACAAACTCCTCTCGATGCTGCTGCTGTATATCCTCAATGTAACACACACACATAAATCACACATACACACATCAACACATGGGTATTGCGTACTTCTACAAATACAATAAAAAAATATATATATATAATATACATCTGGTATATGGTTGCTTTCTTTAATGGCGTATTTATGCTCGATGCCTACAAAAATATTAAAATTACGATTCAATGCTGACCTTATTGTAATTCTTCTTCGCCGAACATTTCTCTCTTCTTTTTATCTCTCTCTCTTATATAATGCACCATACGCATAACCAATATCACCCCAAACATATATAAATAAATATATACAAATCTATATAGGCATGTCGCGAACGTGTCAAAAACTTGCATTCGAAAATAACCGCACGTAATGAGCGCATCAAATTGTTAATACATCGCGGCACGCCGGACGATGCTAAGCTAGAGATTTAGAGATGCCGCACAGCTATGGCAGACATTACTTATTAAGTCTATAACTATCTATATATTTATATACCGATGTATACTACATACATATACTAGAACTAGTTCGCCAAAGAAATTAAATTGAAAACCAAAGCAAAAGCTAAGCAGCCACCGCGGCGTCTCATGTTTACAGCTGCCACTGCAACAATCTCCCATTTTGGCAGTGGCAACAGCTAAACATGCCAGATCAGCCGTAATAAATATATATATATACAACTTACATGACCCACAGCTTAAGAAAATTTACCAAAACACAAAAAAAAAAGAAAGATTAATTTATTAAATTATATATTATTTTTAAAATGAAAACCCCATAAAGCGTATTTATTTTGTTAGATGAACCCAGTCTTAGACAGTTGATTTAGGTAGCTGTTAGGCCCATGATCTTTCAAACAAATGAAAGCTAACCGTTTTTGGCAAATCTTCCCCCAATCTCTTTCTCTCTCCCAACACACACACTCTATCTATATATCGATCGTTATGTGAACGCATAGGCCTTGCGACAATCAATCGATGGCATGCAGCAAAGCTACGACGCAACCGCCGCCCAATCCTATGCTCTGGATCCACATTCAGTGGTAACCACTTCATCGACTGTCTCGTTGCTTATGAAGCCAACGGCAGTAGGTCTAACCTATGCTGAAGTGTTATCAGGACATGCGAGTCCGGTAAGCAGTAATGAAACGGCGACGATCCCCCGACAAGAAATTCAAGAAACTCCCGACACGACCACGACCCAGACAACAATAACGACCAGCCAACACCAGCAAGAACAGCAACAACAACAGCTACAGTCACAAACGAACCTAAACCAGCGGAATACAATCATAACAACAACAACAACCACACGAACTATATCAAACGTACGTACGCACGAGGAAGAAGAAACGAGCTCGGAACCATTAACCACTGTGCTCTATCAGCGCAAACAGCGTGTTACACCACCCAGCAGCAGCAACAATACTACCTCCGACTATGAAGAGACAACTGTCAACCATTCCCAAGTGGAAACGTCTAGCAGCACATCAACAATAGATCAACAAGTTCCTAGCACTAGCATCGATCCGAATAGTCAGTTTATCGAAATGGAGCGCAGTCAGCAGCGTATGAATACGGGTAAGAAATTGCAGCCGCCGCGTCCCGAACGTCGTGCACGTTCACCGCGACGCAGACGCGAACCACAAAGCGCTGTACAGGTGGATAGCACACAAACGCATCAGCAACAGCAACATCCTCAGCAACAACAACAACAACAGCAACAGCAATACCAACATCTTTATCTGCCGCAAGAGGATCGCGCGCGTTCGCGTAGCCCCATTTGGGTGCCGGGTTCGACATCGTATGCAGAAGTATTGCGTGGTATGGAGCTAGAACGTTTAAAGGCCGAGGAGTTGGCTAGGCAAACGGCCCAGCCGCATACAGATCTGACCATACAGGATGTCGTAGATGCCAGTGGTGCAGCGGGAAATATTTTTGTGCCACGTAACAAACCAGAGCAGCATCAACAGCAAATGGATCAGTTCATAGGCGAGCCCAGTGCTGACTTGGGCTATACTCAGCCGCAGGCAGAGCAGAAGCAGATATCCAATTATGAAGTGCCCATGACAGCGGAGGAAATTGCCGCCACCTATTTGCAACCAGATCTACAACTGTATCAGACCATGTACGAGAATGTGGCCGACAGCGGTCAGTGGAGCTATGTGGCTGGATCGAGCGGTGAGCCACAGCAGCAGGCGGTGCCACAAAACTACTATGATCAAATGATGCAGATGCAATATCCCATACAATACCAGCCTGTGGCAGGGCCGCCAACAACTACGCAGTACCAGCTGCTAACGGGCTATTATCAGCCTGTTGCGCAATCAGAGACCTATCCAACGGTATATACGACGGAGCCCTCGCAAATCTATTATGCCCAACAGCCGCAGGTGTACACACAGGAGTATACTCAGCAGCAACAGCAACAGCAGCAGCTGCAACCGCAGCAAACAGAAATTAGTACGGACGTACCCGTCTATCAGCCGGAGATTGTGAATCAAGCTTATCTGCTTGAGCCTTACCGTCCAGATGGGAATCAGGCAACAACATCCACAACAGGTAATAGCGTACTCGACCGTGTGGTGACAACTCTCGCATCGATGGTGCAACAGAGTGCTGAACCGCTAACAACGAGCACACAGCAAATTCAGGCGACGGTTGTAACGCCACAAGCAGCTCAGGAACAGGTGCCAGCACCACAGCCGGTATTCATTGAGGAGCATGTGCAGATGCTGCGACCAGTGGAACCGCAAGAGTTTGAAATGGATGAACCACGGCCCGACATAACTTTTGGTCAGTTCGATGTCGATGCAATTGAGACCATACCTATTGAGGTACCTCAGTCACAGCCTCAACAACAAGCACAGCCACAACCACAACGGGACATAACTAAAACGACATTTGTAGAGGAAACAATTATCTCGCAACCGATACAGCCAACTGTGATAGCACAAAATAAGGATACTGATATTGTCGTCGTACGTCCCCAAGTGCAGCAGCCCAGCAAGAATGTATATCAGCAACAGGATCCCAGTACTGGCAGCACCTATGCCGAAGTGCTATTTGGCCAACAGCATAGATCAGCGCATCCAGTTTTCCAGCCATCCAGTCAACAGCAACAAATTCCAGTACGTGTTGCGGCACCCATGTCGCAAATTCGCAATGCTGAACATACAACAACAACGACAACAATAACCACAAAGTACACAACGTCGAACACTGCGACGTCAAAGGGTCACCAAGGTAGGTGGGCAGAGAAGTCCGATGACAATGTTGAAGGAAGGATACCGAGGCCCAAACGGCAACGACATGAGCAACAACCTGAGCCATTGCCCATTAAAGTCAGTAACAGGAAAGAGCCAAAAGCAAGCAAGAAACACAAGTCTCCAGAGACAAATGGGGCTTCGCACAGTCATGTTGAGAGTGCGCCAAAGGTAGTCTTTGTCGAGGAGGTACACAAGCCTGAACCGAAACCGAGAAAGTCTAAAAAGAGCAAACATCCAACAGAAGAAACTTCGGATAAAAAGGTTGTGGAGTCATCTCATCAGGAAAAACAAATTGCGGAAATAACAGTTAACACTAAGAAAACAACAAAACAGACGAGAGACAGCAGCCGCGAGGAAACAATTGAGCACACCAAGATGGACAAAAAGAAGCCAACGATTGTTGTCGAAACAACAAAGGTTACATCAAAGACAGTAGAACCAATCGTTAAGGTGACGAAGCAGGAAACAGTTGTCGTCGAAGAACCAACAATTGAAGCAGTTACTGCTCCATCAAGGAAAGATAAAAAGAAGGCTAAAGCTGAAAAGGTAGAAGCTGCATCTGCTACGAAGAAACAAGTTGAGCCTATTAAGGAGGTCATAAAACCAACTGAAATAGAGTCCACTGCACCATCTAAATCAAATGAGAAGAAAACAATTGTGGTGGAAACTACGATCTCTAGGGTGTCCGCAAAACAATCTGAGCCGGTCGAAGAAATTATAGAGCCAGCTGAAAATATTGTTGTAGTGGCTCCCACAGTTGTGCCAACATCGCCTGTTTCTACTCCAACTAAAAAGGATAAGAAGAAAAAGACAACTGTTGTGGTAACTACATCTACTACAAATTCAGATAAACAAATTCAGCCAATCGAAGGAGCTATAAAGCCAGCTGAAATTGCAGTTGCGGCATCTACTTCAGATCCAAATCCAACTATTGTTACTACAACTGACAACGATAAGGAGACAACTATTGTTGAGAATACAACCACTGAAACATTAGAGAAAATCGTTGAACCTATTGCTGATGTCATTGAATCTGTTAAAGTTGTACCTACAGCTCAACCAATTCCTGCTGTTGAAGCACCTATAAAAACAACAGAATCAATAGCTGTAGTGGAGCCATCGTATGAACCGACTAGCGCAGTTTCTGTGGAAATAAAAACGGTAACAAAGAGCTTAGTGGAGCCTACTGTGGACGTCATTAAGCAAACGGAAATAGCACCAGTTGGGGAAATTACAAATATCAAGATTCATCCAGTAATCGAAGCCACTACAGAAAAAATCATTGAAAAATTGATCGAGCCTGAATCTGTTCAAGTAAAGAGGAATGAAGAGTCGGATAAGCCCGTGCCTAAAACAGAAACACCAAAAAGTGTTGAGCCAGATGTAGAAAGTGTTTATATTTCTTCTGAAGTATCTGACCCTACAACAGTATCTAGTATCGATACGAACGAAACATTACTGGAAAGTAAACCTGTGGTAACAACGTCGACGAACACGATTTCTACAGAAAGTGGCACCACTACAATTACCACCAGGACCATAACAAAGCACATTACCAAGCGCATCGTGAAGCGTATTATAGATGGTAGAGAGGAAATTGTAGAAGAAGATGTAATTGATGACTTGCCCGAAGAAAATATATCTGTGGAGCAATTCGATTTGCCTTCAGTTGAAACGACAAGCTCTGTACCCGGCAGTATAATCGTTCCTGGACTAAGCTCAACTCAGGATACAACTGTTGTTCAAGGCGGTTCAATTACAAAAACGACAATAACTAAGACAAAACGTATACTCAAGCGCATCACTGCCGATGGCGAAGAAATCGTCGAGGAAGTATATGAGGATGAACCCGAGGTGGAGCGTGACATAACATTGTTACCGACTACAGTGATGACTTCCAGGAATGATACAGCTCTAAAACAACCAATAGGATCTCACGAGGCTATAATCGATGCAGCGCAACTTGCTGTCGACGAAATTGTAGTCAAGGCTGAGCAAGTAGTTGAACCCGAGCCGCAAAAGCCACCGCGTAAAGACAAAAAGGGACAGGATACTGTCATTGTCGCACAAACTATCAAAATGGCGGAAGTTGAGCCTGAACAGAAACCACAAAAGCCGAGCAGAAAGGACAAGAAGAAGCAAAAGAAATCTGAAAGCGAGGAAGTCAAACTAAAAGCAGCGACTCCCATTTTACAAAACGTATCGGAAATATCCGAGCCACAATCACAACTAGAAACCACAGAGCCCCTGAATACAACAAGTGCAATTACAACCGACGAGAAACAAATTCAGTCATCCGATGGATCTGCAATCATCGATGATGACAGTCTAATCAAAACCACAGTCATTCGTACAACTAAGATCGTGAAAAAGATAAACCAACAAGAGAACCAAGAGATGTCCACATCAATTCATTCGGATGTCACTTCGTTGGATTCTTATGAATTCGCCGAAGAAGCTGCAGAAGAGCCAAAAATTGAAAAATCTGAAATGAGCAGTCGTGAGATCAGCGGCGAGGGTGTAGTTAAGACAACCAAAACAACAACTATTCGTACTATTAAAAGTGCTAAAGCTGAACCAGATAAGGAACTTGTCACAGAAGCTATACGCGAAGAGGAAAGTACACCTGAAGCTCAATCAACAGTTGATATTTCACCAACTGAAGATGGTTCCGTTTTGAAAACAACAATTGTGCGGACTACAAAAATTATAAAGAAAATTACTCAGGATTCGGATACTATTAGCGATCACAGCAGTACTTCAGAGCCTGCTTTGGAAACAGTTGAAACCATAATTCAGGATGCTCCAATAGTTGCTGAATCTGTAACAACCGAATCGAATAGTGAGGGTATTACAAAAACTATAACCACGCGAACCACAAAGGCAGTTCTTGAGAGTACAGATGAGCCAGCAGTTGTCGAGCCGAAACAAATTAAAGAGCTGTTATTGCCAACGCCGCCAAGTACAGAGGTGCTGGAAAGTGGAAATATAAAATCTACGACGTTGGATTTCATAGCCTCTGAAAAACAGTCAGCAGAGCCTTTACCCGAAAAGAAGACGCGCAAATCAAAGAAGCAGGAAATGCATATCGAAGTTGCGAATAATCCAGCTGCGGATATTCAGGTTGCTACTCAGGAACTTGTTGCTCCAGTTGAAGAAGAATCCAAACAAACTATTGATATTACTCGCGAAACCGTTGCTGAGCCCAATGATGCTAATTTTAAAAATGATGTGGTTAAGACAACAATTACAAGAACTACAAAAATTGTTAAGAAAGTTTCTCAAAATGTGGATAAACAGAGTGTTAGCGAAATTCAGGAGAGTCAAACGCCTGAAGAGCCAACTCCAGTTGCTGTTGAACCAACAAATGATGAGGCTGGTGGTGTAACCAAAACAACAACCGTGCGTACGACGAAAATTGTAAAGAAATTAAACGAAGATGGAGAAACAACAACAGAGAGCAGCACAATAAGCGAACCAATCACTGTGCGAGAAACCTCTCCAACTATATCGGAATTACCAAGTGAAGCCTCAACCACATCTAGTCAAATTGATGGGGCTATTATCAAGACAACAACAATTCGTACAATGCGTATAACTAAGCGCATAACAAATGACGGACGCATAGTTTTGACAGAGAGTGACACACCTAGCGATGTTATAGTTACATCTAGCATTGAAATGCCCGATCATAGATCTACTAGTCCCATTGTATCGTCAAGGCTGGAAACAGCTCCCGTTGTCACATCTAGCACTGAAACTAAATTACCTAATGTTGGTGTCAATATTGAGTTGGGCATTAGGGATACGGCAGGCAAATCTGGTGTAAAGGTTGTAGGTATTGAGACAACTGAACTACCGACTGTCAACACAGAATATACTTCGACGAACGGGGCTGAGAATGAGTCAGCGCGCATTGCCACTACTACAACAACTACCAAAAATACAATACTTACAACAACCCGTCAACGTAGCTTCGAAACCGAAGATGGCACAAATGTTCTTTTCGTTGGAGAAGGCATTGACGGAGCCTACCCACCAGGCACTGTACAGAAAATTTCTCTCATCACTCATGAAGAGAAACTGAAGACTCCTATCGTGAAAATGCATCTCGATTTTCCAGAGGTTAGTCTTCGCGTGACTGAGACTGTTACTGAAAACCGAGAGTCCCTACAGAGAACTGCCGATAGTAGTGAAAGTTCTATAGTTGAGTTCACAGAAGCAAAGCCAGAAGTAGTCGAATCCGTTGATGTGACTATCACCGATTCACTCAAACAGCAAATCGATGAGGAAATTCCAAAGATAGAGTCAATAGAACAGGTTGATATGCCAAAGGTTGTAGAAAAGAATAGTGAGCCCCCGTCTGACTTAAGTCCTGAGGAGCAGAAACTATTCGAAGATATTCAAAAGAAACTATCCAAAAAAGATAAGAAAAAGCGACCAGCAATCCCTGAAGAGTTCATTAAGCAAGAAACAATTCAGGTACTTGTTGAGGAAAGTAAAGGTAATGAGACAATTAAAATACCGATAGTAGATGAAAAATCGTCATTCACCCCGATTCCTTCAGCCGACAATGTTCTAGTGGACTTAGTGCAGAATCTTTCTCAAGATATATCATTGATTTCACTAGCAAAGACCATTGAGCATGCCAAGGCTGATATACTTTATCGTGAAAGAATGCAAGCAACGCCAGAAATTCCTTTAAATATTCAAGTAGAAGCGCAAGTTGATATTCCATGTGAAATCCAGTTACTTCCCGACCCTACTAATATCGCTAATCAAGTTGTTCCTGCCAAGCCAAGCGCATTAACTGCTGAAGCATTTGTGGTTAACACGGTAAGCACTTTAAATAACACTAATATTCCAACTATTTGTCCAGCTGATAAAATTTATGAAATTCCAAAATACAATTTATCTCAATTCAATATTGCTGAGAGCAATTATCATATAATCAATTCTAAGCCCCTGTCTGTAGAAACCACTTTACCTTTGTTATCTGATCAACAACAAATTATTGCTGAAGAACCTTTACCGGTTGTAAGTACGGTAAGCTCTGTTATAACAGAAACCTTTATTGCTGCCTCCCCTGAACAACTTACGCAAATTCCCACTGAAAAAGATAATATATATGAAATTCCCAAATATGATATGTCGTCATTTGAAACTGCTGAAAGGTGTTATCACATAATCAATAATAAACAATATCCGGAAATATCTTCCACTCCAATTGAGGAACAACAACAAGCTATCACAGAACAATCAATTACAAAATGCTCTAATGATTCTCCTGTTACGACTCCTTTGGTTGAAATCAAAACCGAGGCAAGTTCAACAAGCATATCTAGCCCTGAAGAGAAGGTTTCCATAACAATAAATAGAGTATTTGAAATTCCAACATATGACATTCGTTTATATAATATTGCTGAGGGTAAATACAACATAATCAAATCTACTTCTGACGAAACACCAATAGAGCAGCAACACTCCGTTGAAAAAAGCGAAACGGTTCCTGAGTCACCGTTGATCGAAAGAAAACCAATTATTCAAACTGACTTAGCTGAAATTAAACAATTATCACAAATCGTTACAAAAACTGTGGACGAAGAGATCAACAATGAAATGGCTTCAGTTTACAATTACGAGGTTCCTAAATATAATACCGTTGAACAATATCGTGCTGAAAATCTTCATGCAATAATTCTTCACAAATCTAAAGCATCACAAGAAGTTGACATAAAGCTGCTGGAATCTGAAAATGAAACCACTGATACCATTGTGGAAGATGTCACCGAATCCGTAACACTGAAACAACCAGAAGCTGTGGTACCTGAACAGAAACCAGAAAAGCCCATGAAAGTAGAAGTAATAATGCAGGAAATTCCAGTTGAATCTTCGGATTCTGTAGACACAAAGACAACAGTAACAGTGACATCAACAACTACTGTAACTGAAACTGTCAGCGAATCTACTCTCCCAGAAGAACCGAATACCGTGGAAGCTGAAAAGAAACCTGAGGAGCCCATGAAACCAGCATATGCTGGCCTACCTGTAGATGAAACGACTAGCACTTGGATGGATGTTCTCGATGAGCCAATGACATTCTCTGATGATGAAGAGGAGCCAACTACTACAACTACGACGACAGTCGTTGAGCCCGAGGAGATTGTTGAGTCTTCGGCTTCTGAAAATACAAAGACAACAGTGACAGTCACATCAACAACTATTGTAACTGAAACTGTTAGCGAATCTCCCCTAGAAGAACCGAAAACGGTAGAAGCTGAAAAGAAACCTGAAGAGCCCAAGAAACCAGCATATGCTGGCCT